TTTTTTTTTTTTTTCTTCTTTTTTTAAATATAATTATTAATTTTCTTCAATTTTTCCCGTCCTGTAAATAATGTTGGTGTTGTCGTTATTTCCCCCTCCCTCACTGTGCGACAACACAAATTCCTGCGATCCTTCGGCTGCGTGGCAGTTGTCCCTCGCCGCCAATTTGCGCCTCTCAGCTCTTCTCTTCGCTTGGCTCTTTTTTTTTCTCGCCTGCGCGGTGCGGACGCGGGTGCCGGCGACGTGCGGGGCCCCCACTTCCCAACTGCCGTGGCGACGAATCGGCCCCCCGGCGGCGTCCCTGGGCGAAGGCAACTGCGAGCTGCTTCGGCCGAGCCGCACACGCGCCGCTAGAGAGGCACGCGGCAAGTGTGGTGCGCCCGGTGAGGTCGTGAGGGCTCGGAATCTGCGACTGCGCGCCTCGCCGCCTTTTTTGTGCGTCTTTGCTGCTCGCCGAGAGAAGGGAACAAGAGAGAGACGACAAAAAGGGAGGTGTGTGCATTTTTGTTGGGCGCGGGTGTACGTTGCTCTTTTGGTTTTGTGTATTGGCGTGCTGCCTTCCTTGTGTGCTTTCTGCTTAGAAGTTGATTTTGCTTATTATACTCTACATTGTCCCCGCCGTCCCGAGCCTTTTACTGAGATGAATGTTGTGTTCCCGGCGCAGCATTCTCTGAGCCCCGTTGGCTGCGGTAGAGCGCAGCACCAGGGGACCAACTCATCGCCGCTGGAGGCGTCAGCGACGCGGTACATTCAGCGACTGGAGGTGGAGGTGGGGGAGCTTACGCAGCTGTACGAGGCCGCCTGCCAGCTGCTGTATCACGCCGTTTTTGTGCAGGACGCCTCGGCGGTGACCCTCGATGAGTGCGAGGCGCGGCGCCTCCTCGTGGAGGCGGAGTCGTCTGCCTACAGTGATTTGTCGCGGCACTTCTTCCGGCTCACGACGATACGGCGAGAGGCGGAGGCGGCAATGATGCCGCGTGGCAGTGAGGAGGCCGCGGCGCTGCAAAATGACACCGCGCTGCGACTCTGCGAGGTGCAAAACGCTGTTGTGAGTGCGCTTCGAGGGGCGCTTAGTGAAGGCAATGAGCGGCTCACGAGGCTGTTGGAGGCAGTTCCGCAGCGGGTTTCCCATGCACTGTCTGTACAGGATCTGCCAGTTGCCTTCTTGGCGGCGGCGCCGTCGTCGACGTCGGCACGCAAAGACTTGACGCAGGCCGACGAAGCGCCTGCCGCCTCCGCCGTTGTCCAGCAGCGCCTTGAGACTATCGTGACGCGACTGGATGAGCTGGTGAGAAGCCTAAATCAGGCTCTCGCCCCGGGTGCAGGTGCCGCGTGGAGGGACGATCCCGTGCAAGGCCACATTGCGTCGCTGCGGGATGCGGTGAGGAGCCTGGAGGAGTCGTCGAAGCGCATAGCGGAGGTGCTGCAGCGCCGCGAGGGTGATGCGGGTTCCTCCCAACCACCTCCGGCAACATCAGCAGCAGCAGCAGCCTCACCCTCGTCGTCTGTGGACTCCCACGGGTTGCAGGATTCCTCGTTGCTGCAGAATCTGGCAGAAAAGTCAGCTTTCACTCTGGCGTCTCTGTTTTCAGAGTACATGCTTGCGAACGACCAGATGCAAATGATGGCTGAGCACGAATTGGATCTTCTACTACTGGTTCATGATAGAGGGAACATGATACGCTGGAATCGCTGTATGGAAGAGAAGGAATCTGAAATCCGACGTCTCCAGAGCGAAGTGGCGAGACTGGAAAAAGAGGCACGTAATAGCGATGCTACGGGTGCTGCTGGGGTCAGTGCTACCGCGTCTACGACGACTAGAGAAAAGAGGGATGCCCCGGAAACGCTTGCGCAGCTCTACGCTAGGTTCGCCGCCCCGTTTGTTCCACCAAATGTACGCACCGCACGAACCACGAGGATGCAGAACATTTCCAAGCTGCGCAAGGAGGCGAGGCGCGTGGGGGCCCGCCCGGCGTCCGCGAATCCTGCTAGTGATGGTGCTGTTGCAGAAATTGCTGCTTCTCCTGTTGCAGTTCGTAAAATTGCTGCGGCGCCCAATAATGCCGGTGCCGCTGTGGGGGGGCAAACGCCACAGGCTGTGGCGGGCCCCCCGGCGGGGCATAAAACCGGCGGTGCTTCGCCACCAGAAGGACCCGTGCGTTACGCGTCGGGGGCAAGTTCCACCCCTCCTGCTCCTCGGGATGTGACGCGGCAGCGAGAGACGAAGGAGGAGGAGCATATCGCAGCACCGCCGGGGTTGGGACGTGCTGCCTCCAGGTCGCCGCCCAACGCTGCCGCTGCCGGCGGCCCTGCGAGACAGCAGCGAGCCGCCGCGAAAACGGAGGTTGGCGTTGTCGAGAACATCACCAACCCCACGGCGGTGACGGGTGAGCGAGGAGGGGGCGGAGCCTTGGACCTCGCCATCCATCGGCTGCGGCGGAGCGTTTCAATGTCCAGCCATGGCACCTCTGCGAGCAGCGACAGCGCGACGAACTCCGCACTGACGGAGGGGCGCGCGGCCCACGACGACGCCGGCAGGGCGCCTGAGCTGGCGGTGTTGGCGAATTCATTCGATGCGAGTACCGACGATCCGCCAAAGACGCGTCAGAGTGGCTTGGCGGTGTCCTCCGAGAGGGCGATCCCAGAGAAGGACGGCAAGAATGGCGACCCCGTTGGCCTCGCTTCCCCCGCCTCGCTGGAGGCAAGAGGAAAGCAGGCGGCGAGTGCGTCGCGGTACCGCAGCACCCACAGCGTCCAGTCGAGTTCCTCCTCCCTTTCCACCTCCATCACGTTAACGCTTGACACTTCGCGAGGCAGTGACGAGGAGCGCCGGCGGGCGGCAACGAAAACGAAGTCCACGCCGCGCAATGAGCGCCATTCGTTGGACTGGGATGACGCCCCTCCGGGCGCTGTCGACAGCAAGACAAGAGGGAAGGTGGTGAGTGAGAAACCTGGCATCCGTGCCAAAGCACTTGTCTCTGGGCTAAAGTCCCTGTCCTTCACCAATCATCGATGATGAAAACCCCATGTTATTATTCCGTGTACCTGTATTTGGTCGTTCTCTCTCTCTCTACTTCGTTGTTGTTGTGTGTTGTCTGCCGTTTCGCACTCGCTTCTTTTTGTACCCCATTCTTTCCTGCTTCCCACGCTTTGCCCTCTTTTTTTGGGGGGGCCGTTTTATTCTGCTGTCTTGTAAGCGCGTGTCGTTGCTTTGGCTCATTCGCGCTGCCGACACATCCTGTATATCACCTCTTCGCTTTCTACGCCCTGTAGTGCACGGAGTCTCCTCCCGGCGCGTGTGTGGGTGGATGTTGTTGTCTTTTTACTCCCTTCCTTCTTCACTTCCCTCACACCGTGTGTGCACGCGCGCGTGATGTAGGAGACCGACCCCCCTCCCTCCTCCCCCACATACACAGAGACACAGGCACACAGATCCCTTCTCTTGGGAATCAAGCGAAATTGAAAAAGTTGGTGCCCAGATGTCGTTCAAAGTCTGTCTTGTCACCTGTGGTATCGCTCTTCTCTCCTGCGTCCTGCTAGCCGCGTTCGATTCTTGGCTGCGCTGCGACGACGTCTTTGGGACCGACGGGCAAGAACATCTCGGCGTGTTGCGCAATGGCGATGCCGGTCTCATTGACGCCGTGGCAAACGGAGGTCTTTTTTTGCAACAGGGCGCGCCTCAAACGTCTGGGGGCGGCAACGCTTCAACCGATACTCGCAGCGCGCCTTTAGCCGTCGACGTGGATAGAAACTACGTCGTGGCGGTGATTGTGATGGGCGCCCCGCCTCTGCCTGAGGGGGTTATCAGCGGCACCACCAAGGCGCGGCTCCTGCACGGTCTTCGCACCGCACTCTTGGCGGGGGCGCCGTGGGTTATTGTTCCAGGCGGCGAAGGAGAGCGGAGAAGCGCTGAACAATTTCTCTGGAGCTTGGAGCACCCGCCGGTGGCGCTCTTTCCTGACGCCATGCTCTCGGAGCTGCCACCCAAGCTGCAGAGGCTTGCAGAGCAGATGCGGGACTCGATGTCGTTCGACACGTCGCTCAAGAGCTGGATTCGGCGGGGGCGGGTAGTGAAGCGTCTCTCGCATCCCTCGCCAGGCGACGAGGCGACGAGGGCGGAGGACATGTCATCCCCGCGTCTGCTGCGCTACGGCGCTGCCGAGTGGATTATTCCCGGCTTTCTCTGGGGCGACCCCGATGACGTGGGTGGGGCTGAAGCGAGGACAGGCGCAGAGCAGGCGGTGATGCTGCTGCAGCGGCGGCTTTTTGAGGCGCATGCCGATTTTCTGAACGAAAGCAAGCAGGAGCGACGGACGGAACAGCAACTGCAGCCGCGCCACGGTTGCTTTAATGTGATTGTCGTGAGTAGCATGCACAATGAGCGGTACTCCAGGGCGCTGGTGTACAAGACCATGCGTCGTGACTGGGTGCTGTGGTCCACGTCGCTGGGCGCCCCGCCGTGGTCACCACCGCAAACGAAGCCACAGCAGCGGCAACAGACCTCCGTCGACTGTCTTCACGTGCTTGTGACATCTGCCGACGACGCGGAGCCCACGTGGAACGTGCCGTCGCCACTGTTTGTTCCAGGGCCGATAAAGTCCATGACGAACTTCTCCCTGCAGTCCAGTCTCCTGGCGCGTTTTCTGGGCGTCTACGCGCACGCAATCCACGCGAACTACCGGCGTTGGTTCGCCTGCCTGCAGGTTAGCCTGCTGTCGTACCGCACCCTCAGCCTCGTCAACGAGATATGCAGGGTTATTCTGGCGCACTTAACCGAGACCCTCTCGGAGCGGGACCTCGCGTACTCCGCCTTCGACAAACCGACGGAAGGTTGAAGGATAAAGAAAAGACGACGACGACGAAGGAAAGAAGGATGTGCAACGCCGCACAACCACGCACGCAGAGTTTTATGATCTTTTGCCTCTAAACGGTGGGTGCGGGGAAGGCTTGTCTTTAACTCTCACTCCCCTGCTGACTGTGTGTGTGGGGGAAAGAGGCCCGCCGCCTGACGCTGGACGTGGCGGTGGTGGAACGAGAGCGTGCGTGAGGGGCACCCTCAAGTGAAGGGAATAGAGGGCAAAAAGAGACAGCGAGCGACGAGCAACAACAACAAAGAGAAGGCGTGTGTGTCACCTTCCTACAGATTGGAGTCGTGTTGCATGGGTGAAGCGGGTAAAGGGAAGGATCAATAAGAAAAGACGTGAGAGAGCGTAAACGGGGGGTGAAGGCGGGCCGTTCGAAGCATGTCTGTGGCACTCTGGCAAAACGACCAGAATGAGAGCAAGCTTCTGTACTTTTATTATTAACATTTTTCCCGCGGAGACTACGCGTCGCCCTTTCTACTTCCCATGCTTTCTTTCGTGCGTGCGTGCGTGTATGTGTGTGTGTGTGTGTGTTGTTTTTGTGTACAGTTCTTCACATCACGACAAGATGCAAGTGGCCGAGGTGCTCAAGCAAAAAGGCAACGCGTGCTTCAATAGCGGGGACGTTGATGGGGCGGCAGCCGCCTATCAGGAAGCCATTGACTTCCTCTCGCCTAAGCAGAGGCCGGAGGGGCAGGCGGGGGAGAAAGGCACCACGAATGCCATCATGGGTGACGCAGATAAGTTGCTTGCACTTTTGTATTCCAACTTAAGTAACGTCTACCACATTAAAGGAAAACATGACGATAGCTGGCAAGCAGCCGAGCAGGCGACACTCCATGATCCTACCTTTACAAAGGCGTGGCTTCGGTACATACAAGGTCGTCAGATGGCCGGTTACCCATTTGAGGCCTTCGTGACGCTGCTGCAGCGACTTCGACCTTTGCTACGCCGCCCTGCATCCTCCACGACACCAAAGCACAGTGCGGGTGACGTTGCCGCGGTGGGAGCCTCGCTCTACGAGGATTTGGGGCTATCGAAGGTGTTGTCCCACATTGAGCTGGGTGAGTATGAAGGGGGTGTTGGCATTGTTGCCCGCAAGGCGGTGAAACCGAATGATGTGATTCTTGTAGAGAAACGCTTTGAGACTTCCTTCGCGGAGCTGGATCTTGGGGAACAGAGTGACTTGACAACTATGCGGATTGTGGCCTACTTCGCAAAGAAGATGTATCCACACCAGCGCGCAAACTCCGAGACGTGGGTTCGTTTCAACAAGCAGTTTAAGGGGTGCTGGCCGCGCTCTCCGGGGGACATGTCGGCCGACGTCCGGAGTGAACTCTCCCATGCCCTGCGAAAGCAGCTTCCCGCGATGGACGACGACGCCTTTGAGTCGCTTTTCGCCTTGGCCGTTATGTGCCGTTACAATTGCTTTCACTCTGGCTTTTTTCGGGCGTGCGCGCTGGCGAATCACAGCTGCCTCGCAAATGCCGCCATGAAGTACAACCCAGAGGATGAAACTGTGACACTGATCGCGGTGCGTCCCATAAGTGCGGGAGAGTTTGTGAATGTCAAGTACCTGAGTGATGCCCACTTCTTAATGGGAGTCGGGAAGCGAAGAGAGTATCTTCGCTCTTGGCTATTCTGGTGCAAGTGCGACCGCTGCTCAGCGGACAATGAGAGCTCCGCCACACAGGAGCAACTTCAGTGCCGTCAGTGCCACGGCTGGACACACCTTCCACTGACGACGGACGGGGCGGCGAAGAAGGATCAGGACCCAGTTCTTCCACATGAAAAACCATGCATGCATTGCGGAGCCACCGTTGCGTGGTCGCCAGAGTCAAGAGCGATTGTGTCGCAGTTGATAGTTTCCTTCAGCAGTGTCACCGGGAACATGACATACGATAGTCTCATGATGTGGCTTCTGGAGGGGGCGCGACAGATTGCCGTCCTCCGTGTGCATCCAGATAACTGGCTGTATCGTGTCCTCCTTTACTTTTTTTGCGTGCCGATGACCTCAATTGTGAATGGCGCCTTTGAGCAGTTTAGCGCCAAAGGGTGGCATTCGCCGCAAGTAGAAATGTTGATGCGTGACGCCGGTTTTCGGCGCCTCTACACGGAAGTTATCAACGGCGGCACAAAAGCGGAGGATGGTTCCCAGCAGACAGGCGAGTCTGTTTCTGCCGGAGTTGCGTGTGGTGGCAACGTCGGCAGCGCCGGCGTGGCGGAGCCTGCGGCGGAGGTGGTGAGGGGCGGCGACGTCCTATACGCACTCTGCGTTCTCTGGCGCCTCATCTCCTCCTTCTACCCGCCCTACGAGGGGTGGAGCCTTCACCGCAGTATTTGCCGCCTCGTACTGTTTTCCCACACCAACCCTAACGAAGCCGCCGCGCTGCACGAAACACACGCATTGGTGCTCCTACGACGCCACGGGAGGTACCTTGACGACGCGGATGCTTCGGTGTGGCTGCACGCCTACAACCGTTTTAAACCGACGCCACATCGGAAAGGAATGCTGAGCGTCAAGCAGGCCAAAGCCGCCTTTCAGTCGTGACGACAGAATAGCGCAAACACGCAAGTGCCTAGCGCCTTCTTGCACTTATGCGATATGCGTGTGTGTCTGTTTGCCTTCTCGGTTGCCGCGGGGTGCAACTGCGAGGGGCCGGGGCTCCTCAGGACGGAGCAGACGGGGGTGGGAGTTTCAAGCCCCCCCCCCCACCTCCTGCCCACTTTTTTTTTATTTTGTTGTTTTTGTCTGTTCGCCGTTGGTGGGTTGTTGGCTTCTTACCGAGCATCCATCCTCTCGCAGCACCTTCCTTCCGCGCCGTCTCTCGCTCTCTCTCTTGCTCCGCCCCGATGAGGGTTTCGCACCGCCGCACTCGCAAGGCAGCCGCAAAAGGCCGGGTGCGCGGAACCTGTGTGGCCGGGCCGTAAAAAAAAAAAAGTCGAGGAGGGAGGGGCGTGCGGGTGCGGGTGTACGCTGCAGGGGAGGTGCGCTCGTCCCTGGAGGTTGACGCTCACAGACTGGAGTAAAGCTCGCGTCAGCGCGCACGCCCGCGATGCTCATTGCGGACTTTGGGTCGTCGTTGGTCAAGGCCGGGAGCGTCTCCGAGTCGCTGCCGTCGCTTGTCTTTCCGACCGTCGTTGGCGTCCCGGCGAAGAAGCACGGTCTGCTGAGGCGCAGCAGCGTGGCGCCGGTGGGGCCTCCTCCGGCGCCATTTGTGGTGGGCGCGGAGGCCCTTCACGAGATGCACCGGGCAACGCTGCACCACCCGTTCAGCACGGCATC